ATATATATATTGATTAGTGTTGTGGGCGGTGTGTTTGCTGTTAGTGGTTTTTCATGCAGCTGATAGTATGCATGCGTCATCTATTTTATTCAAACTACTTCTATTCTCATTTTCAATTGCCTTTCTTATCTTCCTGCTGTTGTATACTGGCGATCCATTTGCAGCTTTTGGTATCAGTGATAATATTGACAACAACACCAACTCGCACTTTGCAACATAAAAACAACCCAGCCCTATACAAACATCACTTCAATACAGATCATAAGAATCGTATTGTTGTGGTGTTTGCATAGGGCTGAGGTTGTTTGTTGCGAAATGCGAATTGGTGTTCCTCTAATCTGACCAATATTCGCCTATTTGTTTGGCCAACATATTCCCCGCTGCAATTACCACAGGCGATTTTATATAAGCCTTGGTTTTCTAGGTTCACTTCGTCTTTTGGGTTGTTCCAGAAATTTTTTATGGTTCTTGTTATTTTATATGTTGTTTTTATGTTTTTCTGTCTTAAAATTCTTCCTATTTAATATGTAACTTCCTCTGACGTAAAGTAAAATAGCTTTGGTTTCTTATTTTTGTACGTGGAATTATTTTTTGCAATTTTTTGAGATCGTACTCAGCAAGTGGAATTCACTTGAATTGAAATAATCATTTTTTTAATGTTTTGGAATTACTCATTAGTTTTATGTCGTAGGAAACATCGACTGAAAAATAAGTTGGATGATATTCAACAGAAAGTTACTCAATCTGAGGCCAATTTAGACGAATCAGAAATATTACTCAACAACGCGTCAAAAATGATTGACTCGTCAATTGGAAAATTGAAAGACCTGCAAGACGCTCCTGAAACTTTGGAAACTCTAAATAACAATTTCAGAAGTCAATTAGAGAACAATAGAGATGAAATAATCAAGATCGAAGAACTGAAACCACGAGTACAAGATCATGCATCGAATTTGTCTGAAAGGGTGCAGCAGCTGGAACATATTCTGTCTGAATCACAATTTGGTTCAAACGATGCTGTCAAAGCAGCAAGGGCATATAAAGATATTGTAGCAGCAGTGGAAAGCGCTAGAAAAGCTGCAGATAGTGCTCAAATTGATACAAATGAAGCGGCTGACATTCTGAGTAATATTCAAGAAAGAACTAATGATGCCGATACAAACTCTGCCAAAGCATTAGATGACGCTTATGAATCCAAAGAATCTACGTACAAAGAACTGGAACCCAAGTTGGCGAATGCTCTTTCGGAATATACACCTATAAAAACAACGCATGATGAGAATGACCAGGTGCTCAAAGAAATCGAAAAAATCTTGGAACATATACAAATCAAAGATTTGGGTAATGCATATAAGGAAGCCTCAAATAATGCAGAAAAGGCTTTGTTCTCTATGTCGGAAGTGAAGACATTAGTTGATGATTCATTCAAAACGGTGAGTAGCAAACAATTAAGGGTGCACATTTCTCACATAATCTTTGATTATTTCAGTTGCCACAGGAAACTAAAGAAGCTGAGTTACTTCCCAAACAGTTGGATGACATGAAACGTAGCCTTATTCAAACAGAAAAACAAATCAATGCTGTCAACGAAAAACTTCCACCAGTTATAAAGAGTCTCGACGATTTACCAGAAAGGCAAAATTCTTACAAAGCAAAATCAGATGTTATAAAGTCAAATATTAAAAAACTGATGCAGCAGATTGAACTTGCTAGAGATTCGGCAAACAAAATCAAAGTTGGTGTAAAGTTTCAACCCAGTACCACTCTGGAACTCAGAAACCCGAAAAATATTGAAAAATTGAGTACATCTACGAAATTCTCAGGTTATTTCAAAACTGATCAGCCAAATGGTCTTGTCTTTTACATTGGAAATCCAAATGGTACCAACTTACCAAAAACAAAATCGGTAAGTATTGCTCTTTACATAACACTAGTTTACAGCCAATTTACGACTGTAACGCCAAAGGCAGCTCTTTGGTAAGATAAGGTAAGCTTATTGAGGTATAATATTTTTCACAAAAATTTAATGAACACGACATTCCAAATTTGCTTCTCCCTGAATTGAGGAAATTGTTTAAAATCTAGCAACACAGCGGCTCTGCCTAGTATTCGAATCTGCTTCCGCTGTATATGAGACTTGTAACGCCGCTTCTCGAACTTCCGATACTCGAAGTTTCCAGAAAATATCAGAAATACGGAACTGCTATTAAAAGAGCAGGTTACCAATCGGATCATCAATATTGGTTAAACGCGAGTAGTGGTGAGTTAGTATTAGAGAAGCGAGGTGAGTAAACACGCGAATATTAAGGGTATTATATTAGTGTTATCTTTGTGAATAAAATAAGTTAACTTCTGTAAACGCAGTATCACATATTTGAACTCGACGTACGCAACAGTACAGAAATGTCCAAAGTACAAAAACGTGGCTGCGTTAATCCCGCAGATAGTTTTTGCTATATTTTATGTGGTCAGTTTACTCCTAAATCGAAGAAACAGCCAATTAATCAAATGACCAAAGTAGCTTACCATAAGTATTTTGGATGTGTTGTTGGTGATCAAGATCGGGATTGGGCTCCTCACGTATGTTGCCAAACCTGTGCAGCAAATCTAAGTAACTGGTTAAATAGCAAACGTTCTTCTATGACTTTTGCAGTTCCAATGATTTGGCGAGAAACAAACAAATCATTACAATGACTGTTACTTTTGCATAACAAACGTGTTTGGTTTTTCAAGAAAGAGCAAACACAAAATTGTATATCGGGATTGTCCTTCTGCAAGAAGGCCGGTTCTTCATGGAGAAGGTTTACCAGTTCCAACACACCAGGCAAATTGGGTGGAAGATTTGGAAATGTATGATGACCAGGCAGGTTCCCATGATGTGCCAGAAAAAGACGGTTCTCATTTTCCAGAGAGTGGAGGAAGAACAACACCCCATTCAATCGAACAACCTGAATCAAATGACCTAGTTCTGGACCTCCACTTGTTCAAAAAGAATGCTGAACTATTGGGGTCAAGATTACAAACAATGGAATTTACTAGCCCCTTAAACCAAAGTTACAACATTTAGAAGCCGTAACCATGAGCTATCCTTTTTTTACTATGCAGGATAAAATGTGTGTTTGTGTAAATCCAAATGGTGAGATGGAAAAATTAGGATTTGCACATAATCCGGACGAATGGCGTTTATTTATAGATTCATCTAAAACAAGTTTAAAAGCCATTCTGCTCCATAATGGTAACAAAAGACCCTCTATTCCTCTTGCACATGCAGTTGCCATGAAGGAAATACACGAAAGTATGTCACTTATTCTAAATGCAATAAGTTAAAATACGTATAAGTAGCAAATATGTGGTGAACTAGATGTCATAGGACTATTATTAGGTCTTCAGAGAAGATTTATGAAGTTTTGCTGTTTTCTTTTTGCATTTGGAACAGTAGGGCAACACAGAGCCATTATAGTAAAAGAATGGCCTCCGAGAGATAAATATATTCCAGGTCAAGCTAATCCCAAAAACGTTTTATTACCTCCATTACACATTAAACTGGGGTTGATGAAAAATTTTGTGAAAGCATTAGACAAAGAAGGTGATGCGTTTAAATACCTTCACGTTTTTCCAAAATTAAGTGATGCAAAGCTCAAAGAAGGTATATTTGTTGGACCACAAATTAGAAAACTACTAAGTGATCAACAGTTTGATCAAAAATTAAGTAATGTTAAATTAGCTGCGTGGAGTTCTTTCGAAAGAATTGCACTCTTGCACTCTCATTTGGATTTTTTCCCTGAAAATTTGGGTACTGTCAGTGACGAACAAGGAGAAAGGTTCCACCAAGACATAATGACAGTAGAACAACGTTACCAAGGCAGATGGGATGCAGCAATGATGGGGGATTATTCTTGATTCTTTATGAGGGAAAACGATGAAACATATAAACGAAAGTCAACATTTGCAAAAATGTTCATTGGGATGCTTTTTCATGTGTATTGTAAATAAAGTCTGTTATCTATTTAAAATCTGTTTTTCCGTTAATATGTATAAAATATATTTTTCTTTTCTTGCTTTGATCATATATTTCCCTATAATATGTGAAAATTTTTGTATAAAATGAAAATAACTATAACTCAAAATCTTTACATGATGGAAAATTTTTGATGTTGAAGTCGCAGTCAGGATGCCTTAAACTCTCATGTATAGCCATTAAAAGATTAGTCGCAATTTTTTTTCTTATTTGTTGGCTAGTGTAATTTGAGATTCAAGATAACAGACAAAAATTCTTGCAAAATTAACAATGACCTTCACAGTCTCAAGTTATAACTGAAAAGGGCGCTTTACAAAAAACTGTATTTCAAAACAACCGATATCCAATTAAATTGTTTGGAAAAGCTCTCAATTGGTTATTTAGTTTAATTTATTTTGTAAATACAGGGCTATTCAAATTCGTTTCTGTACATGGGGATCTCGTAAACGATAAGAGATAGAGTGTCGGTTAAAGTTGCGTATTTTAGAGACCTATTTAATGATGTAAAGAAATCCAATATAGCTCTTTTTGTTTTGGAGATATACAGGAAAAACCAAAAAATCCCAAATTAGCCCACATCAAGTGCCAATAGCAAAATGTGGACAGATTTTCAATATGTCTGCGAATAAAGAAGATATAGGCAAAAAAATAATTTGGGATTTTTTGGTTTTTTCTGTATATCTCCAGAACCAAAAGAGCTATATTCGATTTTTTCACATCATTGAATAGGTCTCTTCCAACATACGCAACTTTGCCACAATTCAACTGACACTCTATCTCTTATCGTTTACGAGATCCCCATGTACAGAAACGAATTTGAATAGCCCTGTATATATATTTCGCGCTGTATCGAGCATTAAGGAACTAAAGAAACCATCCACCCGCATAAAAAGTTCATTTTCTCCTGAAAGGCTAAAAACCGCGCTATCACCAAAAAAAAGGTATTGTTCAATATATACTTTTAGTAGATATATAAAAAAATTGAACTCCGATGCTATATACGGCGCCCGTAAGTAGTCTCCACCGCCTCTTAACTTTCCAAAGGACAATTTTTGTAAAAAGGAATCATTTTTAGTACTTTTTGATGAAAAAAGCGGCCCAGAGGGCACTATCATTTTGTTCAATAAAAAGGAGGGTCGTGTGATATTTCGTATGGGCGGTATTTCTATTTGCTATACACTGACCTTCATTTTTATTATTTTAACACGCTTTTTTCCCGTGTTTTAGTAATTCATTTGAGGAGATTCTCTCCAACGGAAAGATTCATTCCATTGACTTTTCTTTAGATGACTTAGATATGAGCAATTATGCAGCATACAGTGTGGCTCCTTGTCGTTATAATCTATAAGTACTTTCAAATCACATTGGAACTACTTACAACGGGCATTACACAGTATATTGCAGACACCCATACAGTGACACGTGGCATGACTACAACGATTCACACGTGTTCCCAATTTCGCCAAAATCACTTGTGAGCGATGAGGCATATGTCCTCTTTTATGACCAGGAGGGAACGAAGAAGCATCTTTGATGTGATTTCTTTCCTATTTCTTTTTTTTTATATAATCTTAGTGCTTTAAATTGATTTGTATTTCATGATTGTTCCAAACTTTATTATTTATTGTAAATATTGTAAACTTTATGTGACCACAAGATCCGTTAGATATTCAGGGTGTAACATAATTACGTTAAAATATTCAAGTGACGTATTTTTAGACAATTTTAAGAAATAGAGTCTATATGAACTTGTGTCCGAAAATGCTTCGTTTCGGAGATACGGGGTGTTGAAATTTATTTTTTTTGTTTGCTTTCTGAAAATGACTCTTGCGAAAAATAAGTTATTTGCACGAAATTTGGTACCCGGAGTTCTTCTGACGTGGGAAATCATAATTTCGTATCAGTTTTCATGTAACATCTAGAGGGCACTGCGTACGCTGTTATTATTTATTTCAAATTGCCTTAACTTTTTTGACAGTAAACTTTTGGTACTTTTCATGAAAAAACCTAATCTCACACCTTTTCTAAGTAAAAAAGGTACACCTCCTCATCAACGCTGGTGGTGATCGTTTTCGAGATATTTACAATTTTCTATATCGATGCATATTACTTTATAGCCAAATTTTATTTCAATAATTTTTGTCACTCTCCGTTTGCAAATTGAGTTAATTAAATCGAGTAGGCTATGAAAGTTTGTCTATAAAAATAGAAGTTCGCTGTCACATTTTTAACTATTAATTGACAAATTCACAGTTCGGAGTTTAAAAGGTAATTTTTTGGTACTGTAGAATTGGAGGAGGCGGTTCTCGAAGAAATTAGTGAACATCCAGAGACAAGTACAAGAAAAATTAGTCAAACTTTAGTCAAAGGAACAGCAATTATATCCTTATCATATTCAGCCTGTCCAGGTACTTAGGCTACGTGATTTCCAACCACGTATCGAATTTGCTCAATGGCTTCAAATAAAAGTCGAACGACATCCGCAAATTCTATCGAAAATCCTCTTCACAGATGAGGCTAATTTTTCAACAAATGGTATCATGAACTTCCATAACAACCACATCAAGGCGGAAGATAACCCACATGCGATAACGCAAACTCATTTCCAAGGCAGATTCTCTTTTACTGTATGGGTAGGTATAATTGGGGATTATTTAATTGGGCCCTATTTACTCCCCTTACGTTTGAATGGAGATGCTTACCTACATTTTTTGGAACACGAGCTTCCCCAACTCATGAAAGATGTTCCCATTGGTCTCCGAAATCACTCTTGGTTTATGCACGATGGAGCTCCTGTTCATTTTAGTGTGATAGCAGACAACTTTTCAGACGTAGCATATTCCCAACGATGGATAGGAAGAGGAGCCACTGAGCATTTGCCCCCGAGGTCACCGGACCTCAATCCCGTCGATTTTTTCTTTTGTGCATACTTAAAATCACTAGTTCATGCTAGCCTCATTGTAAACGAGGAAATGTTGAGGGATCCCATCATAGCTTGCTGCGAAACGATAAGAAACACTCCGGGCATTTTGCAACGGGTGCGGAATTCTTTGATGAGGAGAGCAGAATCTTGTATTACTGTTGGGGATCGTCACTTTGAATAGTTGTTTCGTTCAATTTTTATATGTTTATTTTCCTAATAAACAACACAGTACTTCTCCAAATTGTTTTTTTTACAAACTCCGAAATGTAGCACTTTCTAATTGAATAATTAAACCTGACAATTTTTTTAATTTGGATTGAATAAGCAGTTCGATAATTAAAAGAAATCTGTAGGGGTATAGTGCGTATAAAGTTTGATGATAATAACTGAAATTGCAAAAAACTTATGACAAAAACCTATCATGTTTTGAAAAATTTCAACAATCTGTATTTCGAAAACGACTCATTCTTCGTTAAACATTGTATGGGAAAAAGTTGTTTATTTTGACGAGATCCATCACATACTTAGTTTTTGTCATGTTCTCAGGAACTTCACTTAGCTCCTTAGGAGCTAAGTAATATGCATCGATATAGAAAATTGTAAATATCTCGAAAACGATCACCTCCAGTGTTGTTGACGAAGTGTACCTTTTTTACTGGGAAAAGGTGTGGGAATTAGGTTTCTTCATGAAAAGTACCAAAAATTAACTGTCAAAAAAGTTAGGGCAATTTGAAATAAATAATGACAGAGTACGCAGCGCCCTCTAGATGTTACATGAAAATAAATACACAATTATGATTTCCCACGTCAGAAAAACCCAGGGTACCGAATTTCGTGCAAATAACTTATTTTTTGCAAGAGTTCTTTTCGAAAAGCGAACAAAAAACTCCATTTCAACACCCCGTATCTCCGAAACGGAGCGTTTTCGGACACAAATTCATATAGACTTTTTTTCTTGAAATCGTCTCAGGAATACGTCACTTGAATATTTCAACGTACTTATGTTACACCCTGTATTTAGAACAAGACCTCTCAAAGAGGCTTCGCCATTTTATGTCTTACAATATGATTCAATAATTTTTTCAACAAATTTTGACATGGTTGCTTCAATAGAATGTTGTCTACAAGTTTTTTAATTTTTTTTTATTGTTTTTAAATTATTTGAAGTCACCATAATTTATTTTATTTCTGACCGGGATATTATAAGCTTATATCGTCATAGTTACGCTATCAATAAAGAGGGTCATAACTCCCTTGGGACATTATAGATTTTATAATTCCCTCTACCTTTCACAAGTAAAAATAAATAGAAATGAAAACTGAACCATATTTTATTTATTCACGTCATTACAAATAATAAATGTACAATTTTGAAATGTTCCCTGAAAATTACTTCCGCCAATGGAAACAATTTCTTCTTTTGTATGGCTGGAACTTCTGTTCACTACAGTCGAGGTACCTGCCTCTTCTGATGACAAAGTAGACAACATACGCGCCGTTTTATTTCTCAATTCGATGCTATCCTCCAAATACCCCTCCGCCACCGTGGAACTTTTCCAACCTCCGTGTCTTTTTAAGTTAGTCATAGTTGCTCCTGCATTGGCTAGAGCAGTAGCAGAAGTGCGACGAAGGCAATGTCCCGTATAGGAAGATGAGTTTGGCAATCACAAATACATTGCGATTTTTCTGGGGATTTTCCCAAACATGTTTTTTCCAATTGGCTGAGATGTACATTTATTTTGTCGGAAGCTCAAAAAAAATCGTTCAATACCTTTAGGACGCAAAGACATATAAAGTCTTAATAAAGGCAAAGCGGAGAACTCTTTTTCATCCACAACTGTAAATTTCTTCGATACACCAGTTTTACTTTCCGGTACGTTCACTACCATAACGGAATCCCGGTCCTCTATATCCGATATCTTCATATTCAAAAGTTCCTGACTTCTGCATCCTCCAAAATAACCCATAATCAAAACAACCTATAACAAAAAAAAAAGGAAATAAATACACACAAAAAGGAAAATTAGGAGCGTCCTTTAGGAATCTGATAACATCTTTAGGAGATAAAACAGCAGACTTTTTCGGCTTATAACTCTTACTCTTCCGTTTCAAAAAAGCCTGTAGTTCATTGAACTTGTTGATATCTCGTTTCTCATGTATAGTCACCATCGATTTTAGCATTGACCATTTAGTCCATAAAGAATTCGGACTATACGTTTCTGACTGAAACGAATAAACACAATTACTACCAAATCTACCGAAAAACATAGAAAATTCCTTACCAGCTCTTGAAAATATGCCAGAAATACAGTTTCAGTGACATCTTTTGGCATAACATTTTTCCGTGTCAGCCAGTCCAGATATATCTTGTATTCTTTTTGGTATACGGCTTCACTTTTCGATGGAATTTATGATTCTCTTGCTTGTTCAGCTTTTTTCAAAATATCCTCCATTATATTCGGGGTAGAAAACACGTTTTCACCGCAAACACAGCTTGATAACAAAGTTCTGTTTATAAACAAGTAACATAGCAACAACCTAGCAACAAGAAAACTCTACTATAATCAACGGTACCTGATTCAAATATACCGGGAAGGTAATGAATTGGTACATTTTTCCGTTTCAAAAATGAACAAAATTTTATTGAAATCGGTCAGAAATAAAATTATCTATGTACCACGGGAATTAATGAGCCTTAATAACCTCAGGCAATTGCTGTCCCTCGGGCCAGGGGCCCTCGGGACGCAAACTTTGCCATCGGTAATTAAGGCCCTCCTAATTCCCTTGATATATAAGTAACTATTTTCGCCACCAAGCTTTCTTACATATTTAAATTCCAAACTCATTCTTTTTGATATTTCCTTTTTTTCCACTAGTCTATTTGAATATTCCGATCCCAGTTAGTAATTTACATTATTTCAATCGTTTCATTTTTTTTTGTTCTTGTTTGTTGACACTTTTTAAGACAATGGAACTTCGATCCTTTGAAATTAACAAAGTTTGACACAATTGTTCATTTTCAGGATGATTACATGGCTCTTATAATACAAAATGGTTATCCTGTTCTCAAGTTAAATATTGGTAATGGCAATGAGCAAATAATCAATCCAAAATACGTGTCTGATAATAACTGGTATCAGTATATCATCGAAAGGTACTGTATCAACCATTAAATTGAAACTATTATCATAAACAATGATTCATTTTCACAGGGTAGGATTCAATGCGAAATTATCAATACGTGAAGAACTCTCAGATGGTACTGAGAACACAATTGAAAAAGAAAAAACCCTTGCCGGTCCATATACAATGTTCAATCTTGATGAAAATAAATCCAAAATATTTGTGGGAAGTTTCCCGAATAATTACGAAATGCAAGAAGGTATTGATTTCAGCTCTTTCAGTGGCGAAATAGAAGATTTGGTGATAGGAAATACACCTATGTCACTTTGGAATTTCAACTACGGATATAGTGACCGGTTACACTCCTCCTTCAAAGAAATGTCGCATTTATCAGACACTAATAATGACGTATCATCCGCATACATAATGCATGTATACTCAGCGACTGCAGTATTCATATCATTACAATATAATATAAATAATAAAGGTGCCAAAACAGAACCTTGAGGGACCCCAATTTCCAGAGTTTGAGTTCCAGATTTGAATATACGCTGGTGATCGGTAAATGAGATAAACTGTCTTCTGTTTTTAGTAAAGGACTCAATCCAATTGAAGGCATTACCCCTAATGCCGTATGAATACATTATGAATAAATTAAAGAAAAACACTGTATGTATATTGGGTGTGTGTTTATCAGCAAAATACATGGGAAAATCACGTTTTGTAAATTAGTAATCAGGCAATAGTAATCAGTGTCATACATGTTTATATCCAAAAGTTCTAAACCAGTTGAGTTGAAAGATCTTCATAAAGATCCATTATAAAAATATTAAATACTCTACAAGTGCAGAATTTTGAGTCTAATTTTGGATGAAAACGAACATATTGAAACAATAAGAACAATAGAAAATGTTGTATCATTAAAATACCTCAAATTGATTTATGTTTCATTAGTTTATACAACTGGAGGTTTATCCCAACACAAAACCGTTATTTTTAACACTTCGACACGTGTTTCAATCACCAAATGGCCATCTTCAAAAGAAAGATTAAACTAATTTCAAAAACTACACCTCAACGATTTGATGGACAAATCACTTGAAAAAGCTAATGTCTTGCGAAACATGTTGTGATATATTTTTCAAATAAAGTTTGTGGAGATCAAATCGTTGAGGTGTAGTTTTTGAAATTACTATGGACCTTCATCAAGTAACAGCCGAATGAATCAGAAGATTAAAATAAATCCACATAAAAGATTGGCCTTATTTATACCATAGATACCTCTGATAGGTACCTGCGTCTCAATTGTCTTAAAATAATTTTTCATGTTGCCTTTTATCTACTAGTCAGGTAAATCTGATAACTGAAATATTATTTCAACAAGCTATTAGGTATTGGTCTACCATCGTTATTCATAATATTATTGTTTACTTATTTCTATGCTTTCTTAGGCATCTAGATGCCTGTTGTTGTTTACTTGTCTAACTAATGACTGCATGAAGAGTATAATAGTGTCTGCCAGATTGAAGTGATCATCTATTTTGAACCTTTGTAAGAGTTTGGTTCTTTCGTCAGAGGTTGAGTCATGTTTGAAGATCATCAGTGTTATTATTAGATTGACTGGTGCCTCAGCTATATTTGTTATCTTACAATAGTCAGTTAGTTTGGCGCATGTTTGGCAATAAAGTTGATCATCACCCGTTGAAACTTCTATTTTCAGATGATTTAACAATAAGCTTTGCACAGACTGGTTAACAGTCATATGAAGAAACGCCAGTTGAAGTTCCAGAAAATCACTTAGGTTTTTGCTAGCAGCAAAAGATCTACAAACTCAAGACGTAATAGACTGTACGGAATTATTCAATCCAGAGCGGTCAAGAGTATTGATTCTACTATTTTACTGCTCACGAAGAATATTCAACAAGAATCCTAAGAATTCGGAACAATCCTCTTGTTGTCCTAATGAGTATGTAGTGGACTTCAAAGACTCTAGGAAATCAATTAGTTGGTGGTTCTGACGAAACTGCAGCTGCATGAACAGTTGTTTGAGTTTGGTGAATAAGTACAAAACATTCTCGTTCTCGTTCATCGTTAAAACCTTGTTCTTGAAATTTTTCGTCATGAAAAACACTTGTAAAATATTATTCATGTAGCAAGTGTTTCCTAAATTATCTAATCCAATTTTCTTCGCAAGATTCGTATGACAACTGTCTACTGATTCGCAAGGAAGAACATGTTCCACAGAATCAGCATCAGAACCATTTCTCAAGCTGCAATCCATTCTTCCAAGTGATGAAGAGTTTTCATAGAGGGCTCGATTTGGCTCTTGCTCCATGAAGCTCTTCCACTGAAAGCATTTTATCATATAGTTATGTATATTCGAGTTGAAATCGTACGTTCGAAGATTGAACACTGTAAATTTTCAGCTAGAACGATTATCAGTCGTTAGGGGATAAGAGCCGGTTAATGGAAAACAACCTTATTTCATTACATAAATAAGCTTTCTAATTTATATTTGAGTATTCAAATTTATGCTCATTTCAGAGATAAGTTGGTGAATTTAGCTCCTAGTACCGGATATAGATTCGGTGGAAACGGATATGCTATATTAGATGCTAGATCACTCCAGTTTAGGTCTAAGTCCACAATTCAAATGAATTTCAAAACATTTGCACCCACTGGCCTTCTATTTTTGGCTGGTAAAGGCAAAACATCCACTTCTCTAGAATTGCGTGATGGAAAAGTCGTCTATCAGGTAAGTCAGCAGGTGTAGTTGAAACGCATCACAGTTATTGTTAAATAAATTTTCCTCCACATATATATTCCAGTATAATTTGGGAGACACCACGAAGAAATGGGTTACTACTGGCAATTACAATGATGGAATGTGGCACAAAATCACTGCATCAAGAGACGGACCCAGAGGAAAACTACTGGTGGACAATGAGGATGTCATTGATAGAACAGTTCCAATTACTGGAACTTCTCTTGAATTTATCGATACAATATCATTTGGCGGTTACCCTAATAAACATAATTATAAGGATGTTACTGAAGTGAGATTCGATGGGTGTATCAATAATGTTACCATAATGGGCGAACCTGTTGATTTAAGAAACAACATAAAGGCTTTCGATGTCACTCCTGGTTGCCCTGATAAGGTAAGAATCACAGTGATAGGACTGTTCCCCAAGCATCTATTATTGAAAACTATCACATACAACAAATTTGAGATTATTATCATTTTCATTAACATAATTAAATCGACTAGCTCATTGTTCATCAAACATGCGGCAAAATTTAAGGGACTATTCCTTGGACTATTGATGATTTTTGATAGCGCGCTTCGTTTCGAAGATACGGAGCGAAAACGAATTTCGACAGTAATACTTTATTACTAAAAATTACATTTAATATTTCTTAATCTACAAGAACTGTTGAAAATTACTACCCCTCGCTCGGTTGGATGCAAGAATCCAATATTCTCCTCATCGACTTCCGAACTCTTTCAAAGACACCAGGATCGCTTCTGATTGCCTTCTCAAATCTTTCACATCTTCCATTAACTAATAACTTTAGGTGATCCCATAGGAAATAATCCAGGGGATCCGGTGATCGAGCAGGCCATTAGTGAAGTCTACCTAGACCAATCCAGCGATCTCCGTTACATGATCCCCAAAAACAGATTCCATATCTCAGGTGTGAATCGATTGAAGCATAATACACACTTTTTGCCATATCTACACCAAGTTCCCATGAAATGGTTCTTACTGCGAAACATCCTGATGTCAATTTTCTTCTGAGTATTTCAATGTGACTTTCGAATTTCAATTTATCAACTATATATAAACCCAGAAATTTTGTTTCCGGCATATAACTGATCACCTGATCTACATGAAGTTCTTGAAGATTACATTTGAAAGTAAGGATGTTAGTTTTTGGTATATTGAAAGACAACCTATTAGCATCACACCAATCTTTAACTTTACTTAAATCATTCTCAATCATTTGATGCAATTGTGTGCCATTTTTATCATGCCAAAGTATTGTGGTTACATCTGCAAATTGAGTGATCTCTCCGGAAATATTAATTGACGCTAGATCATTTATATAGACTAAGAAAAGGGTGGGTCCCAGAACTGATCCTTGAGGTACCCCCATTTACTTTCTAATTTGTGTGATAAGTTGCCTTGAAGATATACGCTTTGAGTCCGTCCGGATAAATAAGACTCAAACCATTGGATTACTACATCTCTAAACCCATATTTCTCTAATTTTTGCAACAGAATTTTGTGGTTAACACAGTCGAAAGCCTTTGTCAGATCTTTAAAATCCTAATTGTGTAGAAATAATAGTGTTATGCTTATTCAGAAAGGCCATTATTTTTTTTTCACGAGTTTCTCTATTATTTTTGAAAGTTTGGGTAACATTGAAATGAAATAATAGTGTTATGCTTATTCAAAAAATCCATTATTCTTTTTTTCACGAGTTTCTCTATTATTTTTGAAAGTGTGGGTAACATTGAAATTGGTCTGAAATTTGCGGGATTATCAGTATCATTCCCCTTATGTATTGGAATTACCTACTATTGCTTTTTTTAAACATGATGGAAAAGCTCCTGTTGCAACTGAAACATTTACTGATTCAACTAGTACCATAATGGCTGAGTCGGGGAGATGTGAAAATATTTTATAGATAAGTCATCCCACCCAGATGCATTCTTATTTTTAATTTCATTAAAAAATTGTTTCGTCCCTACGGTATCCGTAGGCGTGAAAAAGAATGATTCAGAAACAGAGATGTGATTTAAATAAATCAGTGAATCATTTGAGGAAATAATCTGTTTAGAAACAGTTTCTGCAACTGAGCAATAATATTCATTGATATCGTTGTTTTCACAGGAGCAGAGTTGTTTCTACATCCCAAGTCATTGACAATTTTCCAGCTCTCTTTTTGCCTGTGACTTGCATTTTCTACCCTGTTCCTATAGTATACTTTTTTAGCCGTTTTCAAGGTTTTTCTATAAATAGGCCCATACTTGTTATAAAAAGTAAAGAAATTTTCTAATCATATGTAGGGATCGTAGATTTTTTGCCAAAATTTTGATACCCTTTGTCAACCAGGGTTTTTTAGCTTTTTTCTTGATTAGTTTAAGAGGAACGCTTCTATTAAATACATCAGAAAGAATTGAATGAAATTTGGATAAAGGTTCGGATTGGAAAGTTTTTCTATCAGGCAAATTACATTTAGGAAATCGTTCTCTTTATAACCGCCTATCTTCCAATGAATTGCGATCAGCAAGTCCATAAATGAAATTATGTCAGTCATCTCTGCGTTACTATAGCCACTCATGATAGAGGACTTCACTAACAAGACCAACGGAATTGTTAGATTTTTTATTACTTGGTAGGTCCAGTGTAGTACGCTATACTTTTATTTTGGCTACGTTAATAAAATCAAAATTACCAAAATTGTTATTGTCGAAATAATTTTTCGTCCAGTATCTTCGATACAAAGCGTTGTATAAAAAATCATTAAAGGACAAAATATCCTTACAATACTCCAAAGAATAGTCCCTTAATTTTTGCCGCATGTTTATTAAACGCCCTGATAATTTATACGTTCTTGGAATTGCATCATATATACAGAGACAATCTCAATTTGTAATGATTTGAAACAATCATCATAACATCATCATTAACATAACTGCGTTTCACTAGTATATACTAGATATTGGTTTGGGTCTTTATGCTGTATTATACACCTGATACTATCTACTGTAAGTTTTTCACTGTAAGGGAAGTTATTGTATAGCGAAACACCTGTCGCGGGTTCTATAAAACCCTTACAATGAAAATTTTACAGTAAATCATGTCGGTTGGCGTTAAAATGGATTTTCATCAAGCATCAACCAGTTTCATCCAATTCATCAGTTCACCTTGATCTTACAGGTAGCATCCATGGTTTCATTTGGAAAAGATGGTCATCATTATGTTGGCTGGGATAGGATGTCACTAACCAATGAATTCAACATTAGTCTCAAATTTAGGACGAGTGAACAAAATGGTCTTCTATTTTATATTACTGACCAACAACAAGAGAATAGTATATCATTGTCATTGAAAGATGGTCACCTTGTGCTTGTGGATCAAAAAATTGAACTGATATCCTTAGATAGATTCAATGATAGCAAATGGCATGTCGTTTCTGTAATCCACAATAAAAATAATTTGAGAATGGATACGGATGATGATGGTTTCAGAGTGTAAGTACAGTATATTATATATTTTTGGCCGAAATAGGCGGAAATGGGCCGTTTTGTTTTAACTAAGTACATAAAATCTTGATAACTTCTTTCAATACATTCATATATTGATTCATTTCTTCCTTCAAAATGAAGGAGGAAAGCATTCATTCTTCAAAAGGATCTATTTCAGAATTGATGTGAATAATAATAAGACAGAACAAATATGATAATTCTTCATTGCCAATTCAAGTTTTTCTGTATTGCAAAATTGTTTATAATATCATTTGGTAATTCATTATAAGCAATTATTACTTTGTGAAATATAGAGTTTCTGGAAAATGCAGATTTCAGATGGGTGCTAACATTTTTCGAATTACATCGATCTGGATATTCCACGAAAGAGTTGCATCTCTATACATTTATTGAATCAGTTTTCCTTCACAATTACATTAGACAAAAAAACATAACATCATCATAAAATACTGGCTGATTCAACAGGCCAAACAAACATAGAAAAGTCAATATAAAACATAAAACATACATAAAAAAGTTAATAATAAGCTACAATCAAATCAGGATTCAAATAGAAACTCATCCACAGAGTAGTATGCTTTTTGCAATAGAAACATCTTGAGTCGCCTTTTAAAGACATTGATATTCGAGGATTTAATGTCCTCACTAAGCTTATTATTATAACTCAACCCCATTGCTGCGGTGATTCTTAGATATTGTCAGTCTACTATAAGGTTGATGAAGTTGAGAGCTATTTCTGGTGAAATGTTCATGGATTTGCTCATTTCAAGGAATAATTGAAATATTTTTTATATAGAAACTATGCCTTGTTAATAAACTGTAACGAATTAATAATGGCCTGCAAAAACTTCATCAGCTTTAACTGATAAGCCTCACCATAAGACCATAGGATATTACTGACTGAATTAAACTGTGGTATAAAAGCTTAAGAACATCAAGATTATTGAAACTGTCACAAATTTCAGTAGTGTCTTTCTTCTATCTGTTTACCACTCAAATCAATAGGACTAATTTTTGGTTTTTTCTTTACTATTAGATTTATAATTGAGTTGATGTTCCTCTATGTTGACTCTATGTTTATCACAAATTCAACTATTTCCTTAACAGATTCATTATAAAAATTATAGTGGTAAATATTCTCCAGAGACGGAGTTTTTTTTTCCATTGCATAATATTTGTCTCTAATTTTTATTGATTTATTTAATCAAACTGTATTTTCCTGATGTTTAATTTAGTAGAACCATATACCAAAGTTAGACACAATTATATAATTTGATCATAACAGAATAAACAGGGTTATTTGAATTGAAAGGGTTATATTTTTAGGAGTGATTAATTTTTGGGAAAGAAAGTTTTTTGCTTTCTACTACTCCATCTGATACAAAAAAAAAATGGATGAGAGAATCTTCCAAAGAAAGGAAGGAAGTAATCAATTTGAAAATAAGTAACGGTATACATGGATGTGTAGCTTATTCCGTGACATTCAAAATCGTAATTCATAAATGAAGTGTGTGTATTTTCTATAATGTTATCCAATTTGGTACTGAAGAGCCTTAGGGCAAGTGTCTTATGGCGAAACACCGGTGTATACCAGTTAGGGTGACAGTGTTCTATGTGAGTACAATTTATTACCATTCATTCAAAGTAGAACTCATGTGAATGATATCTGATTCTTATTCCCCAACAAATGTTTGATATACAAACTGAATAGAGAAAAGTATCTTCTGTATAATTCAGTGTTTATATAGAAGTATTTGTTTCGAAAGAATTTTTTTCTTTCGTGTAATTCAATGTTTATATGAAAGTAGCTGTTTCAGGAGGACTTTCTTTCAGTTTGTGTCTGAAAGTTACTTCTTTGCATGATCTACACATCCATGTATACCGTTACTTATTTTCAAATTGATTACTTCCTTCCTTTCTTTGGAAGATTCTCTCATCCATTTTTTTTTGTATCAGATGGAGTAGTAGAAAGCCAAAAACTTTCTTTCCCAAAAACAGGGTTAATTCTTCAAAATGAGTGAAGTTCAAGCCAAAATCATCTCAACTCCTCTATTCCTATATGAGTCTTTGTTACAGATTCAATTCTGAAAAAAAATGTTAATTTCATGAATCTTCAGTATTTTATCAGAACAAAAAGTATATTTCATTGGGGTATGTGTTTTGCTATCAAGTAATTTGTTTGGATTATTGATTTCAGTCATATCAAAAATATGTTTACTGTGAAAACTCATTCTGATTATCTAGTTATAATGGCAGCTCACCTGAAATATCAAACAGTTTTCGAGTTGAAAAAAGCAAATGTCAAAACCAATTCACATGATATTCAATATTTCCTTGAAATCGTCCATCTTTCCAGATTATTGTCTTGCTAATTATTTTGTGAAAAATAGGCATTGCCGTGAATAAATAAATGAGTAAATGAATAAATGAAAATAATTAAAGTTAATTTCATATTTTAATCTGATCATTACTTTCATCAACCACAGTACTGACGACGAACCTCCCTTCATTCACGCCCTGCAAGCAAATTTATATGTGGGTGGTTTGCCTCAAAGACTGATCCCAAAACCTAAAAGGATAGCATCTGTGGTACCTTTATATGGTTGTATAGCTGACTTGACTGTGAACGGAAAAGTGAAGAATTTTGCAAACACTACTGACAGATATTCAGAAATATTAGACAAATGCATTTTTGATGACACATCCTTGGACTTTGATCATCCTTGTGAGTTGAAAACTTTTCTGATGTCAGTATTTTGTACAATAACTTGGATTTTTTCAGTGCCAGAATTGAAACCATTAGAACGCATACCTACTTTTACTACTGAGTCACCTGAAGAATTTACGGAAGATCCAAATAAACAATGTAAGTACGAGTATTGATAATTAGAGTAGTAATTATGAAGTCTTGGCATCATACACTAATCGCCATCATATAACTTGCATTTCAATACTACATTTCCACTTGAAACTCAATAGGAATAGAATATAATTTTAAGGTACTTACTATAGTAGGTATAGTTCAAGTAATATAAGAAAGAGTTATTGATTGATACAATTTTCATTATTATTATGTTTCTGATGTAGTTCCAATAAGTTACTGTATATATTGCTGAGAATATTAATGTCAGTTTTCTTATTCATATAAATAGAAGACTTATTAATTTCATCCATTTCAAGAAAAAGGCGTTTAGAAATATTTTTTTCTGTATATTAAACTTTGATATTAGAGTAATTTGGTTTAATTCCTGTTTCTATAGAATGTTGTGCTAATGCGCATGATTTTTTATTAAGCTTTATATCACTTTTATGTGAACTTATTGATCCTTTTTCAAGATTATTCAAAATAATTGTTCCAGACGCTACTATTAGAGGAGATGGTGGAAATGACTTTGCGGTACGTACTCCATCCCCTCCTCCTCATGAAGATATACCCAAGGAGAAAGAAAGACCGGCAGAGAAAACACCCAAAGTAATAGAAAAACCAGAAGTAGAGAACGAACCAGTTACTGAAATTGTTACGCAACCTGCAACTGTCAAAATTCCAAGAGGGCCGGTTGGTACAGTTCCAATAACAATTGAACCACCAGTTACAGATGGATGTGCTTTACCTTTGAACCCTATCCAAGAAAGTGTTCATATTGTTGGTTATAGATTTGGTAAGTACCTACCTACGAAATGAAAACATTTGTATTCTTTGTCACTATTTGTGGGATATTGCCACCAAATGTATGAAACTGGAAGGAAATAGTGTGCAAGAAATCAAAATTAATATTTAAAAAGATTTTTATGACTTATGACTTCAATGCCATACAATGTAACTGAATTTTCAGATTGCAAAAATCCAATTTAATTAATTAATTAATTGATGTGTAGCCATTACTACGTGGTAGGAAATCATAATGAAAAGAGAAATGAAAATTTCTATGTTTTTCACCACTTTTATTTGTAACTAACGTTACTGTAGTTTCGTCCTATACGGACATTTTCAAACTTATACAATGAACTAACAATGATTCATTACATTCGTCACTATATACCACCCCTGTAGGTACTAATAGAAATAGAGGTACTTGACTTGATTGAGTACCTGAATTTACTGTTCACAATGCGGATGTGCCAATTTGAAAACCGGAGAGTAAACTAAATCGATTTGATCATTTAACAGGTTGCACCCGCAATGTTTATGCTTGTGAATTTCCAAGGATTCTAAATAATTGAGTTTGCAATCCTTTCTTGTATAGTACAGAATTTCCGTATCGTTTAGATTGTGGTTGCATGCCAAGAAATTGTTTGAAAACGTCGAATCATTTTTTTCTAGTCTGGAGGACCTTTCATGTTCAGCATACCGTTTTTGGAAATTTCGGCCACATTGTCCCACATAAACACTATTACACTCCGGACACTTGAGCTTATGAACTCCAGATTTTTCCAACTTGTCCACCTTATCTTTGACATTGAAAAGGAAATGAGATAACCTGACATGTGGTTTGAATGCCACTTCTACATTGTTTTTTCTGAAGAAACCCGCAATTATCTCTGTTCTTTTTCCAAAATATGTTAGAGTTACCCATTTCTTGATTTCTGATTGTTTGACCTGAGGGTATATTAATCTGTAAGTGAATTTCCGGCTTTGTTTCCTGACTACCTTCTGGATAGTATCTGCGTTGAAACCATTATTATGACCTATCTGTATAATTATTTCAATTTCCCTAGCTAGATTATTAGCGGACAAAGGCAGTGAGAATGCTCTGTGCAACCTTGAATTGTAGGCTGCTAATTTATGACTGTCTGGATGGAAAGAATCGCTTGAGATGGTGATTTCTGTATAGCTAGGTTTTCTGAAAACATTGAACTCAAATTTATTTGATTGTGTAATGGTCAGGTCTAAGAAATTTATCTGTTTCTCTATCTCTGTTTGTGAACTGAATGTTGCTATTGAGATTGTTCATGAATCTCATAAATTGGTGCAGCTGCCGTGTACTACCTCTGAAGCAGAGAATATCGTCTACATGTGTGTACCGAAAATGAATATGTTTTAGGTCGGAATTTACTATAGTGGTCTCCAAGCTGTTTATAAATATGTCTGCTAAAAGTAGACTAAGGGGTGAGCCCATTGGTAAACCTGAATCCTGTTTATAAAATTTGTTGTTAAACTGTAGGTAGCTCTGATTCAGGCACACATCGAAAGCTGTTGAAACTTCAAAGGAAGTGATATCGTCTACTTTGGCTTGATCTAATATGTTTAAAATCAGGGGCGTACACTCGTTTTACAGTATGTTGGAAAACATACTCTTTACATCGAATGAAACTAAAATTGAATTATGTGGCGTGGTTTGGTTTCTTATGTTTTCTACCAGAGTCAGTGAATTTTTAATGCTGTGATGTGGGACGAAATTGATAATATTTCTGAACAACTTGTTAAGACGTATTCCTAGTTCTCTTACCGGACTATTTATATACGAAACTACCGGTCTCATGGAGTTATCCTCTTTATGTGTTTTCATCAGGCCATATAGTTTAGGGCAAGAGGGGTTCATGTTGGTGNGTTTACAGTTATAATAAACTTACCCATGTAAGTTGGAGTCAGTTCATGTATCATTTTATAGATATAGATCATAGTTAAGTACGTCAGTCTTCGCTCCACAGTAAATAACTGTAAAGTTTCCAGCATCAATGATATAGGAGTTGACCTACTACATCGCAATACTATTCTCATTGCTCGATTTTGTAGCTTTTGTAATTGGGATGGTACTCAATCAAGTCAAGTACCTCTATTTCTATTAGTACCTACAGGGGTGGCATATAATGGCGAATGTAATGAATCATTGTTAGTTTATTGTATAAGTTTAAAAATGTCCTTATAGGACGAAACTGGAGTAACGTTAGTTACAAATAAAAAAGTGGTGAAAACCATAGAAATTTTCATTTCTCTCTTCATTAATTAAATAATGAAAATATCAAATATTTTCCTAGTGCTAAATTTCCTTGTCTTCTAGAATAAAAAGTATCATGGAGACAACAAGAAAAAAATGCTCCAATAACTGGAATTTTTTCCAGTATTTCCCTAAAATACCTTAAATTCATTTATTTTTCATTAGTATATTCCAAAATGCAACATCTTATATCAGTATGGGCTATGGCAACAAATTCCTCATTGAAACTAAATTAAAAAATTTTAGAACGAAATTATAGGGTGTATACTCAAGTTGAACTGCAAGAACTACTTGTATGAACCAAAACATAAATTCAAATTATATACCTTCATTCATTTGGCCAAAAGCTCAGACATTCAAATCTCACTTTCAAAATCAATGGTGTTCAACACAACCATTTTCAAGATATTCATATAACCTAAAATTAATGAAAATGAAAACAAATATTGGGCAAAATTCGATTCATTATAAAGGTATCAAGTTTTACAATGATCTACCGAATACTTTTAAAAAATGTAATGAACAAAAATTCCGGATTAATTTGAAAAAATATTTACCTATTGTTTGTATAGGTAGATATATCATCTGAGGAGTATATTTATGTTCATGTTGATAATAATGTTCAAACATATATATGTATGTATATATGTGTATATGTATGTACACTTATATTTTTCCAAGTTTCACTTCTTACTTAGTTATGTTTTTCGAATTATAGTTTTTTCCCTGCTGTAAACATTGCATGTTTCTTTGGAAAATAAATTTTTTTTCCACCGTAGTGTGCGCTGGTCAGGCCCTATCCCCCGAAGCCCCGATTGGGAAACAAATTGTTATTATAATTATTATTTTAATATTTTTTGGGATATTTTGATAATTTGTTCATTGTGAAATTGTCATTGAATATATTTCTCTTTAGGTACACATCAAGAGAGCAGACTAGAATTTAATACACCAAGAGGAAAGTACAAAAAGAATTTCGATTTTAGATTTGAATTCAGAACCAAGGAAACTGAGGGTATCCTCTTTTATGTTTCGGATTCAAAGGATCATAAACATTACGCTTCCGTTTATTTGATGGCCGGTCACGTAAGATTCTTTTTTAAACAAGTTCAAAATATTCATATTCATTCATGATGTATTTTTCTATATTTTGGCTACAAGCTTAAAATATCGAATGGATAATCGATCAGCTGATGATTTGTTTTTATTCATATATACAAGTGATGATCCTCTTTTTTAGGTCGTATTTACATTCAAAGGGGACTATGACGCTTTGGTGATAAAGTCACATGAAAAATACAATGACGATAAATGGCATTTACTAGAGTTCACTCGCGAAGGCAATAGTGGTAAATTGTCAATTGATGAAGAAGATTATTCTTCTGGAACAACAGATGGTAAAACTATAAGTTTGGATCTTCATATACCATTTTACGTTGGTGGCCTCAATCCTGATCACTACAATGTGGTTCAGGCAAATCTGGTAAGTGTAATGGAATGTTATTTAGAAACCCAGACCTTTGTCTTGAATTTATTAATACGCCTTGCATTAACGTGACGGATCTACCGTCATTCCCAATAGACCTCTACAGTTTCCGAAAGAATATGATGAAATCAATATTATTTGTTAGTCAAAAATGACCGTGACGTCACTACCATTGGGACTACCCGTTTCAAACTACGTTCCAAAATGTACATGATTTTTGAAGAGCAGAAAAAAGTACAAGCATAACCATTCAATACATAACTATAAGAACTAACTATTCAATTAATACCTACTACTCAATCAAATATTCCAAATATAAATTCCGTGATTTCGAAACTATTAATCATCAAATCGACTTCAAAAGCAAGTTGACAATCTCGCAGGCACAGTCAGAACAAAAATAATATATTTGTTTGAAGGTGGTTGACAAGGTTTTGTGGTGTATTTTATCAATTCGGACTTCTTATTGGTGAAAAGGACCGACACTAAATGGGAAACATCTGTATAAAACCCATTCACACGGGACACTATCTGAACCACCATCAAACGACTAATAGAGGAATCATCAAGACTCCAGTAGGCCGTGCTTTCGAGCTCTGTAATACAAAGGAAGGTCTCGAGAAGGAACCAGACATCATCAAAAATGATCTTCAACGGAATGGCTACTCCAAAGCGATGGTGGAACAGACTTTGACTAAAAGACAGCAAGAAAGGAAAGCCGTCACAACCATTGCTTGCACTTCCCTACATCAGAAGATTATCGGAAACGATAAAAAGGATTTAGTCCAAGTATAACATCGAAACCTGCTTCAGATCTGGGAACACTATTCGTAGCAGCCTCACGAAAACTAGGCCACCGGATACCCTGCGAGTGCGGAAAATGATACATCGGTGAAACTAAGAGGCTATTGAAAGTTCGCATTGCCGAGCACAAGAAACACACACAGCGAGAAGAAAACAGCAAATCAGGAATAGCAGAGCTTGTTTGGACTCATCAACATAACACCAAGTGGTCTCAAGTTGAAATAATTCACAAGAAGAAAACTGCTTTAGGAGAACATTCAAAGAAGCCACATGTATATATTGTCCAACAGCGCATTTAGCCAACCTAGCGTAGAGATACGCAACATATGGAAACCTCTAATCAAGCTGAACACGACCAACTCCCACCAAATGGTCAGCTCCCGATAAAACCGATGAAAGAGGAAGAGAAGGAAGAGGAGAAAGGTGAAAGCACTCGAATGACCTATAAATAGTCAGATCTCGGAGGAATCAGACCAGTTATCGCCCGAAGACGATTGTGGATACTAACAATCGAAACGTTGTGAAATAACTTGGTTTGGAATCTTTTAGTTTTTTTATTTTAATTTCTTGTTAATGATTTTTTAATGTTCATCTCGTGTTGATAGTTCAATTTTTAAATTTTTTGGTTGTTGCTTCTATTTTATGTCATTGTAATTTCAGTTTTTTTGACTAATTTAATTGTTATTTTTCAGCTAATCTTTTTAATTTTTTTATAGATTCTTTCGGGGATTTCAAATTGATTTATATCATATTAGATAATGGAAGTCCGAACTAATGAAATGCAAAAAAAAACAGCCACACAAAATGAAAGATAACAAATTCGGAGTTTGCAAAAACTCCAAACAAGCTGAATTTTTTTACATTCTTCGAATATATCATTATAAATGAAATGTTATAAATCATCGTCAATCCCACCTGTGCGTCGTTTTATTTTCGGGGTCAAAGGGCATAAATTTTCGTTTTTTGCGTATATCTCTTGAATGGTGACAGTTACCGGAAAATGATTCGGAAAAAGCTTGTAGATCGTTAGAATTCTTTATAAAAACTATACTTCTTTCTTAGGAAGTACCGTTCGCGAGTTATCGCGATTTCAGACCGTAAGAAAGTCGTAATTATACGCACACCTCTCCACACCATTTCTGAGGTAATTTGCTCGGCGCTTCTTTAACTTGGTTTTCCACGATATACATCATCCACGAAATTCAGTAGTACATTATTTTATTCATATAAAGAAAATTGTAGCAGCAAAAAATGACATTATTCATCACCAAACTCTATATCTCTTATTTCTTCCTCTTTGCTGTCTTTCTCTTGGCTCTCTTCTTCCTCTTCTTGTTCGATTTTTGAGGTTTGTTCTCAGAAAAGAGATATATTAGTACAGTGGCAGAAAATTGGGAAGCTAACCTGAAATGTCATCGGAAAACGAATCCACATGTTTCTAGAAATGATATGAAATCGAGAAAGGTTAATGCAGTCAAGCTGCTGGAAAATAATTCCATGAAAATCAAAAAATAAATAGATAAGTACCGTTTTCGACAGCTGATCGTGCTGTCATCCAGGCACTCTTCTATCTCTAGCAGATAGAAGAGTGCCTAGAAGATGACCAGCTGTTGAAAGCGCTCGCAGATAATCAGAATATATATAGTTATTGTGATTCTTATATAATCAGAAATGATTATTGAATAACAAAATTAGTTAGCTCCCTAACTATTTTATTAAAGGGGAATTGCTGGAAGGTAAGGGGTACTCTTGAACCATACTTCTAATACCTCCAAGAACATGTGTACAAAATTTCATGATAATCGGTTGAGTAGTTTTCGGGTGAAACCCTAACAAACAAACTTACATTCGCATTTGTAATATTAAGTATGAAGTATGATTATACATAAGTATATATGTTAATATGTCCATTATATAAGTGTCGATAATATTTTTAAACTAGTCTGTACACAACCATGTTGATAGAAAATTTCGGCGTTGAACTATAGTGTATATTCAAACTTTACTTCTTTGTAGGTGTTTTCATATTCACATTTTATATTTCTATATATTTTGTATTTATTTTTCACAAGCCTTATCCACAAGATTCATTCTTGTTGACAATAAAGTATGTTATTATTATTATCTGATTTGGGAAAGCAGAAAAGTCTAGTCATGTTCTATCAAGGTCTTGATAATGAATTTTTGTTGTTATTCCAGAATACCACAACTTCATTCATTGGATGCATCAGAAGTATGTCCATGAATAATAAACCTCTTGAGCAATCGGCCGAGTACGGTGTGATTCCATGTTCTGATAATGTAGAAGTTGGAACATTCTTTGCAGGAGATGCTCAAAGTTATATGAAACTCAAAGATAAATTCAGAGTTGGCGAGGTGTTCAGTATAAAAATGGACATTAAACCAAGAGCAAATTCTGGAGTGTTAGTATCCGCTCATGGCAAGAAAGATTATTATGTTTTGGAGCTAGTTAATGGAACACTGAAATTGCATGTAGAGAATGGACGAGGGGTGGTATCAGCCAGTTTTCACCCTCCCAACAGCAATGTCTTCCATCTTTGTGATGGAGAATGGCATAACATTCAAGGTAACATGCTTTATTTATTTTGCAGACATGAAATATGTTTGTGTTTGTGGTTATTCAATTTTAGGATATATCTGATCTCTTATAACTACATTAGATACGTAATGCAATCGAAATGAACAATTAAAATTTATGTTTCATTCTATACAAAATATTTTACTATATTTTGATACCGAAAAATTTTCTCATAAGTTTTTATTTCCTTGTATCATCTTCACTATTTAAATTGTAACAGATGACTCTAAACATGACAAAAATTGTATCATTTTTTGTGTTTATTCCATGAAGACGCTTAGTCGAAAAAAATTCCGTGAAGATGGTGTTTCCTTACGAGGAAACGTTCATTGAACAACTTCTTTGAGATCTCTCAATCTAAAAATTAATTTTCAAGTTTTCAAGTTTATTCAAGTATTGCATGTACAAAAAAAATATTACAATTTTTTTACAAAATGGGGTTAGATTTGCTCTCTGAGTAAAACATACCTATGCATAATTGCCTGTGTGTATGTGTTTTATCCAAGGCTTCTCTAAAACAAAACTATTAGTATTGTACATAAAATTATCTTAAGAATTTTGGCGAGCAAAGATTTACAAGATAAAAAATAAAAAAAAATAAGGAAGGTAATTAACTTTTATGTAAAGCATAACCTCAAAACACCTGTATATTTAATGTGTGCACGTATTTTTACCAAAATTCTGAAAGATATTCGACGATTTGTAGAGGACAGGGATAGCAACAAAAGGTGGGTGTATTCACTATCGTTGTATTTTATAGAAAGTTTCCTTGTTTTTCAGGATATAGTTCTTTATTTCAGTTTTAAAACTTTTTAGTTTGTCATTTTTTTTTTAAATGTACTGGTATTTCATTGTAAAATTTTGGACCGAAAAATAGAAACGTTCTCTGGGTTATAGCTTTTCTAAATATATGTATTGCTAATTCTTCATTACTAGTTTGTCTGGTTGGTTGGACAGATCTGCTTCGAAGTGAGTATTTAGTTGTGTGAACTCGAATTATACATTGATGTTTGGTAGGATTCTTGTTTCTTCATATAGTAAATTTGTGGAATAGTGTTTCATTTTTCTGAATAACGAAGGCTTCTCCTCATATTATAATACTGTATCTTAGAATGGATTCCACTAGGAAAGTATAAAGCATTAGTAGGTTTTTGCGTGAGAGGATATCTCCTAAAGTGTAAAATCTGTGCAGTAATGCTCTCAATCGTTTATTTAAATTCGAGATGTGCTCGGTCCAGCGAATGTGCTGATCCAGAGTCACTCCTAGGTATTTTATTGATGTTACTCGATCTATTTCTGGGCAGGTACATGTATTTGTGTCCGTGCAAGTTGTTTTGTGAAGGTTTATAGAATAATCTGTAGTGGGTTGTGTATTAACCGTAGGTGTAAAAGGTGTGAATTTAGTTTTAGAGACGTTTAGGGTGAGTAGGTTATGGTCCAGCCAAATTTGCAAATTTCTTAGATCTGCTTCTGCGGTTGATTTTATTTCTTTCCAGCTTGTGCCTGTGAATATCAGAACTGTGTGATCGGCGTAGCATATTATGTTGGACGACAAGTCTCGTATTTGAATAATATTATTCATATAAACCAAAAAAAAAGAAGTAGCCCCAGAATAGTCTCTCATGGTACACCCATTTCAACCGTCAATTCTGAGCTTACTTCTCTTCGAATCTTTACTTTTTGTGTTCTGTATTTCAAGTAGTTTACCATCAGGTCCAATGTGGTACCTCGAATTCCATAGTATTCTAATTTTTTTAAAAGGATGTTATGTGAGACAGTATCAAAGGCCTTAGCAAGGTCAAGGAAAATAGCCAGACATTTTGATGATTCGTCTAACGCTCGCACTGTTTTTTCGAAGAAATCAGCTATGGCATTTTCAGTACTAGATTTAACCAGAAATGTATCTGTATCTGTAGAGTAGGGAGGGTGAGTGTAGACCTACAAAACTTAGGCCTCCCGAGGAGTTGTCCTCCTAGGTCATCATCCATCCTGTCCTTGATCACTGGGTCCGAGAATCATGTGCCCTGATCAACCGCAGTGAGCCAAGAATGACAGTATTCTGCATCTGTCCGGCATCTGCCCTAATGCGGCCGGCAAGCCGGTATGATTTTAAGATTCGAGAATAGATAGATCATCATTCCACCAAGGACTTCAATAATCAGAACAACCATCTAGACAAAGTGGTCTGGATAGAGTCTGCGGAGTTATTATTATTATTCTATCTGTATCTGTAGAGTAGGGAGGGTGAGTGTAGACTCACAGCACTTAGGCCACATGTGACCCATTATACATCCTCCTAAGGAGCTGTCCTCCTAGGTCATCGTCCATCCTGTCCTTTCCAGGAAGGTAAACAGGTCACTAGGAGACATCTCCTTTACGTTGGCAGGTGTAGGCCAAGATTCGCCGAACAAACACTCTCTTTGGCAACCTTGAGGTGTCTTCTCACGGTGTCCTCCGCGAAGGTTTTGGAATGTGCAGCGACATTATTATCCCTGTGGGGCTTCTTCAACCTTCTTGGAGTTCCCTTCGTAGAGGTGCACAAGTGAGGGAGCTTTCCTGCAGGGACAGTCGGTTTCTTGCCTTTATTCAAGGCGGAGTTCTTGGCGCCTGCCTCAGGAAGTGTCCTTGCAGTTGGAGGTGGAGTGAGCGAGGAGGAGGGTGCACTTATAGTTGCTGCCACTCCTGCCTCCTTCGCTCTCTTTCTCTTTTTGGCCTCGGCGCCGCAAATGCGCTAACGCTTTGGCCTTTGTATTACATCACGAAGTGATCTGCTAGGTCCAGCCTCATTCCAAACGTTAGATTGGGATGGACATTTCTGTTCATGACCAGCCACTGTCATAGATTGAGGTGAGCACTTCTGTCCAGCCTCGGGATTCATTTTTTTTTTTATTAAAAAGACGCTTGAACCACGTAGGATTATTAGCGTAGGTTAAGTGATACAGAGTATGCTAGTGCTATATGTTCAATACTTAAAATAGAATTACACACTGTACATTTAGGTTGTTGTTCGCCCATCAGAAGATATCCATGAGTAGCGCGTGTATGACCCAATCGAAGTCGTGGGAGCATTACTTGTTTTCGCCTGTTATCAGGTGTGTTCTTCCATGGTAGAACTGATGCCTTGATGCTGGATAATTTTGAGGATGATTCATTCCATTGTTGTTTCTGTTTTTGTGTTTGTCTCATTCATGTGTTTCCACGAGTAGCAAAGGAAGAGTTGGTCACCTCTGGCAGAGCCCCGCAGTACCAGAGGTAGGCTGATTACAATGAGGTTTCGCCCGGTTCGTAACCGCATATCACCCTGCGGACATTCAGCTGTTCGCACGATTCCTTACACCTTAGCTTGGGTAGGCTGGTCCACGATGACATGTTTTGCAAAGGCTTTTTGGGAGATTTAGTACCCCTCACCCTATTTATTTCTGCCACTAACGAGGAGTCCGGCGACCCCATCCTTAAGACCACATTGGCTTCCCGGACAGGGCCTCTAGCTCCCTGGCCGTTCCCCTATCCGCTACCTGGGGACGCGCCCGATAGGTAGCCCAACTCACGGGAACCAGAAATTTATTTTTTATGATAGAATTTTTAAATGAAAGCTTACATATAGGGTGTTTATCAAACATGTGGCAAAAAATCAAGGGACTATTCCTTGGACTATTTTAAAGATATTTTGTCTTTTGATGATTTTTGATAGGGCGCTTTGTTTCGAAGGTACGGGGCGAAAAATAATTTCGACAATAACAATTTTGATAATTTCAAAATGATTTACGTAGCAGAAATAAAAATATAGCGTACTGCACTGGACTTATCAAGTAATAAAAATTTAATAATCCCGTTGGTACATATCAACAACATTCCGATTATTACAAACGGCTGCAGACATTCAATTTGAATAGTATGTCTCGTAAGTAATCATTTGTATGTGTCGAACAGGTTGAAATTGATTGACTTTGTCTATTTGACATACAATTTGTGTGTTTGATATTAAAAGGCTTGCTAGTGAAATCCTCTATCATGAATGGCTATAGTAACGCAAAGATGCCTGACATGCATTTCATTTATGGACTCGCTGATTGCAATTCATTGGAAGCTAGGCGGTTGTACAGTGAACGATTTCCTAAATGTAATGTGCCTAATAAAAAACCTTCCAAATTATACATCAACGACTTCGAAATGGAGGACTAGGAAGGCCAATGACAGTAAGAACAGTAGGAGTAGAAGAGAATGTGCTAGCCATGATCGAAGAAGATTGCAAATACCTTAAATGTAAGTAACGGGACGGTTTGGAACATTCTTAGAGACTATTTGTTATACCCATACCACATACAACGAGTTCAGGCACTTCTTGGTTCAACACATTGGTTTGGGCTGAAGAAAATCCACATGAGGTTCTTGAAGATCGTTTTCATCATTAGTTCTCGTTAAACTATGGGTGGGAATTGTAGGTGACTTCCTAATTGGAGCGGTATTTCTGCCAGGAAGACTTACCGGCAAGGCATACCGCAACTTTTTGGAACAAACACAACCTCAGTTTCTGTACTGTATCATTGGTTACAAGAAATGTAATGTGATTTATGCACGATGGTGACTCGAGAGTTTTTAACAATAACATACGGAGATCGCTAGATGGGTCGAGGTGGACCTCACTTATGGCCTGCTCGGTCATCGGACTCAAACCCCCTGGATTGTTTCCTATGGGGCCACCTAAAGTCATCAGTTTATACTACTCCAGTGGAATATGTGAAAGATTTGAGAAATCGGATAATTTCTGGGAGTAACGCAATCAGAAACGATCCTGGTGTTTTTGAAAGAGTTCAGGAGTCGAGGAGGAGAAGATTGGATTGTTGCATACGAGCGGGGGGTAGTCATTTTCAACAGTTCTTGTAGATTAATAAACATTAGTTACATATGTTTTTTGGTAATAAATTGTTATTGACGAAATTCTTTTTCGCTCTTCGCAACAAAGCGCCGTATCAAAAATGATCAAAGGACATAATACGCATGTTTAATAAACACCCTGTATATTTCAGTTCTGTATTGTATTTGTTGATTTTCAATAGTATTACTTTATCTTTTGAGAGTTCTTTCATTTCATTGAGACTTTTTTCTTCATAACAGAACCGCTTAGAATTTTTCTCCACCAAATATCATCAGAATAATTACGTTTTTTATATTTTTTCCTTAAGAGTTCTGTCCTGTATTTATGTATAGATATATGATAATAATACATTTTAAATTGTTTAAGTTATTGTTTCTCATCAAACAATGTATCAGACAAAACAATTCAGTTTCGAAATTGAACTTTCAATGTCAAATGTACTAACAAACTTTGAAAGTTCAGAGTATTATTCCTAAATCTCATGTCTGTTTTAAAGAATGGTCTTCTGAACCTTTACAATTGAAATTTTTTTTTGCATAATTTGTTTTATATGTTTTCTAAGGATTTTGAATTGTTCATTTCAGCTGTCAAATCAAGAAATGTTGTGACTTTATCTGTAGACAATATTTTCACCGGACCTAGAGTTGGCCCTACGCATTCAACATCAACAGATACAGGAAGTGCTCTCTTTTTGGGCGGTCATCGATATATTAAAAAAGTGAGAGGAATTCACTCCAGACTGCCTTTCATTGGATGTGTGAAAAATGTTGAGATAAATAATGAACCATTCGAGTTATTATCTCACATGATTCATGGAAATGTAACCATTGGATTTTGTCCAAACAACTGATAACTATTGAGACAGTGTGTTTTAACAGACTATATTAAATATAATCTTAAGTCAATCTCATTATGTTGTTGATTTCCATATGACTCATCCTCATCCTTCAAAAGTGAGTAAAACTCAACCTGCTTACAACCTGGATGGTAGGCAGGTTGAATTCCTAGAAACTAGTCACAAAACGCTAAAAATGTATCACTACCCGAGAAGTAGACAGATTGAAACCTTGACATAACCAGTTCTTGAAAATCGCTTCAAAATCGAAGCGGAAACAATCTAAGATAATAATCAAGGCTATCAGATTTCTGACGGCGGAAATCTGTAGGAAAGTCGACGTTCACGATCATCTCAGATGGCATTACCCCTCGCGAGCTGAAACAGTACCTAAGAAATCTTAATATGTCGACCCTTGAAGACCTCACAACAGATAAACACCCAGAAAAACACATACGCCTCCATAGACACACACACACACACATACTCTCACGCGCGCGCTTATACACAGACACACACATGATTAATAATAATAATATATTACAGAATATGCTCTACGTTGTTTAGCAACATGAAAACATAAAATGCCACAACGTCAGACAGACTGTATGAACATTGAAAAGAAAAACCATTAGTATGCTTGGTGTGAGTCGTTCCTTAGAAATCTTCATAAACATTCTTGTAAACTCCATCAAAATATTTTTTTTCTCTAAAGAAACGTATACTCACAAAAAAATCAACTTGAAATTAATATGGTTTGATGATACACTTGAGGAAATGAGAAAAAATCTCAAGGCTGCAAAAAACGCAGCAGATATGTCTGGAAATCCATACTATATGGTGACATTCAGGTTCAGATTGAACAATTTATTTGAGTTCAAATAATATTTCCAAAGCTAGCTGGATTAAAAAAAAAAAGTGAAAAGAAGCCTATAAATTATTGAATGAATTTTTCTGTAGTATAAGTCCAAAAGAAGCACTTTTCTCAATCACCAGAAATTTAATACCTACTCTTCTCATCGCACGAGTTACGTACCGAATAAGTACGTTCAACCAGCCGACTAGGTCTACGACCCGGCCAAGGAGCGCCGACGCTGCAGTATCAAATAGCCGGCATTCCAGGAAAAGCCAACATTAAAATTTCTCACCATTTATATTACATTATTAAAAATTCAGTCTTGATGTAACTTTTGTACGAACAACTTGTCCAAATAAAAATATTTCGTCTTTTTAAAAACGGTCTTCGTTCTTTAAAGTACGTAATTCACGTTTCAGGAGATGAAATGGGCTTATTTCATGCTATTGAAAATGATACTGGTTTGCTTATAGATTGATCGAGTTATTATCTGGTCAATCTAGACATTGGAAGGTACACAAATTTACAAGCTGCAAACGCGTGCAATTGTTCAAAACATAGTTAAAAATAAGATTTTAAAATTCCGAATGATTGCGATGCCTGGAAAAAAAATTATTCAAGGTCAAAGGTCAAAAATCTCGAAATAAATTGGTTTTTCACGATTTTCAGGAAAACGGTAAGTTTTATCATAAAATAACCTCAGATAAAAATTGTAGATCATATAATTCTCTACAAAAAATGTATCAATACTTTTTTTCTTAGAGCCACCGTTTCTGAGATACGACGAGTCAAAAAGTTGTAAAAGTTGTAATCGTCATTATATGCACACGTTTCCACGCGACCTATGAAATAGTGTACTTAGCGCTTTTTTTTACATGGTTTCCCCAGTAGGCCTATTCCACATGTCTATTGTGATTCTGTCAAATTGTAAACTTGCATAATAAAATATATTAGGAAGGGTTGGAAATTATAAAAGCGATTGAAATTAAAAAATGTAAAAATTTATTCATCTGAGTCATAACCTTCAAATACTTATTTTTGTCAATCGTCGTTCTTTTTCTTGGTCTTCTTCTTCTTCTTGATGTTCATCCTGGGTGTAGGTATAACTGCGTCAAAAGTGTTGTCTACAATAACTCCTAGATACTTTATTTCAGACACGTATTCCAAGGTAGTGTTACCAATTTCAATTTTTATTACATTATAATCAATAGAGTTCACTTTATATTCAGTTGTTATCACCATAGCTTATGTTTTATCTGCTCCTCTGTCTCACTCCTTGAGACATAGGAGTGTTCCAAAAAAGGGAGGCTGTAATGTGACACCCTAGTAGATTCGAACGACTACCCACCGAGATCCTAGTAACTTCCATTATAATCCTGAGTTCCGCCAGACGACAGAGGAGAGAGATCTGAGTCAGTCAATGAACTTCCATACTGAATACTTTCAACAACCTCTTGTTTTAATCATTGTTAATGAAATTTTGTTGCTTTTCCCGTTACAAGTGCTATTATCGAAGTGGTTACTTTTGCCGAATTAAGTTGTCTGAAGAACTGGATCAATTATGACTCTTGGTGACTCTTCTCGCCAACGCCGTAACCCTTTACCACCCCTTATGGTAGAAATCCACCAACTTTGCAAGAATTGGCTACATACAAAATTTGTTGGACTATTGGAGAATATTTAGATATCGTCCTGATGAAAAACTAGGAATTGAAATTTGGTATTGTAAAAATATGCTGAGTAACTACTTGTGCTTTCATTATACTGAAAGAATTTATAGGATCGTTCTAATAGAAAAAGTCTAACCATCTTTGGAGTTCTGCAACTGAATGGTCTTCAATCAATAAATTGTCTTTCAATAGGGCATCTGGAACATCCCCTGGTAATGATAATAGTATGGAAAAAAATATCATACAACACCTACAGAACACACTATCAAAACGTAACTACTCGGCAAAAACAAACTGAACACTGAAATGCTATGTTTTTGACAACAGGTAAACATGTATAGGTGACAGGTTTCGAACAATTGAACAACCTAAAAAGTAAAATTCCCTAAGATATTTTTGTACATATCAACTTTAATACTTCTATTCATATATCTGAGAACATCCACGTATCTATAAAGTAACAAATTCTATCTGTTCCGACTTTGAATTATTCCAAAAAAAGGCCTAGAAAATGTCAGTAGATTTAGACCCGAAAATTTTATAGTGGCAACACTGAATAGGGGTATTGGAATCGTCCATTGGATCATATTCGTCTACATGTTCTGTAAGTTCTGTAAAGAAAAGAAATACTGACAGTTTTCGAGTTTCTTTAGACTCGGCAAAGTCTGAAATTTTACCATCACTTGAGCAACTTACAAAATGAAATATTACTAGTTTCATTGCTATTGAACACATTTCATTGGGAATTTTAACGTTGTTATGTTGGATATACAAAATAACCCCAAGTGACGTTATTCTCTTCTTGACGTGAATATGCCATACTCATCGATTTATGATTTAAAGAAATTTTCCTTTTATTTGTTGCAGGATGTCAATGAGGGTCGCCCATTCATAACTTGTTAAATTCATGGAACGAATGGAGAACTGCTGCTCCAAAATTATGTTTGGGCTGAAGTCTCTGCATGGACTTAGGCCACATCGAATATCATATGATGGCATGGGGACAAACATCCTCCAGAGGGCGTTGGCTATTTTTGCTTCCTGTTGCTACGTCCAAACTTATCGATAACCATTTTGAAAATGATATAGGAGAACGTGGTATATCTTTTAGAATTAGTTTTGCCTCTTTGCATCTCGAAAGGCTATTAATAATTTGAGACGTTCGCATAACTCACTGGGATTGTCCCAATAAATGTATTCAATGGATTTCGCATTGAATGTCATTACAAGAGGTGACTTTTTGGGTAAACATGATGTTATCGCACTAGTACTAAGAAGTGTTTTAGCAGGAAAAGTTTCAGTACCAGTTTTACGACGACTTGCTGGTGTAGGAAACAACGGTTTCAATATGATGGTGTACTTGTATATCTGAGATGCCCAGCGGAATGCAAGTATACAATTTCTTTTTGTATACTCGCACACCTCAGCATTATAGTTTTCAGGCATGTCAAAAAACAGTTCATGTATACCAGTGATTCCCAGCCAGTTTTATGTATCCGCTATGTTTGTCAATATCGATTTCTTTTTGGTCTAGGAACCATCAACTTCGTTGATTTCCTTGTCATGTCTCCAATGTTTTCTAATGTACTGTTGTAAATCATGCCCTAAAGAATATAACGCCGGCCGCCATTGGTAGTCATAAACCAATTATGACGAAGTTGGCTGCCGCTCTAGATGTAGCGAGAATAATGCTACCGACTTCGTTGGAATTCCGGTGAATTTTCTACCGCATTCGATTACGATATATAAACGCTAGCCACGAGCCTATCGACACAGTCAAGTGGAAGTTACAGTGCGGTACACGAAGCGATCTAGTAAGGCTAATACATTCGAATAATAGTTAAAGTGTTTGTTGTATTTGAAGTGAAATATAGTTAAGATTGATTATTATTCAGTGTAATTAATTATTGGTCAACCGACGGGGAAAAACGTAACAGTACGGTTGAGACATTATCGGATACTGATATTCCATTAAAACATTTTCATTTATTACTGACGCAACATTGTCATCTTATTCGTCTTCTGCATCCCTATTAAAGACGTTTTCATCATAATCCTTATCTGTACCTGCAACATGTACGAGGGATTGGAATGGAGTCATTTCAGGCTCTTCCACTTATTATTTGGTTGAAAACAGTGTCTACCATCCCGTCCAATCTCTACATTTTCCCTTCTTCCTTGATCACATGAGGTACAGCATTAGCCCAATCTTCTTTCCGTATCCGTTCCATTGCGAGTTCNATTTAATTGATGAAGTTTCTCCTTAATTTGAGCCCAGATTAATTCTATCGGGTTTAACTCGCAATGGTAAGGAGGAAGTCCCAAAATGGTGATGCCTTCAGCACGAGCTATTGTCTCCACCACATACTGGCGATATCTGTCACGATGCTGTTTAATGACACTCATAAGTTCGGCCTTAACCATGTCCTCGGAAAATGGAATTCCTTTTTGTCCTAACCAACTCTGCATGTCTGCTTTTCTGGTGGTCATAGTTGGCAGCTGTTATGCTAATCAGCTGTGATAAGAAGCGTTATCCATTACTATTACCGAATTTGTCTCGACTCGTGAAAGAACCATCCTTCAAAGGGTTGGGTGTCCATGTCTGGCGATATCTGTCACGATGCTGTTTAATGACACTCATAAGCTCGGCCTTAACCATGTCCTCGGAAAATGGAATTCCTTTTTGTCCTAACCAACTCTGCATGTCTGCTTTTCTGGTGGTCATAGTTGGCAGCTATTCTACTAATCAGCTGTGATAAAAAGCCTTATCCATTACTATTACCGAATTTGGCTCGACTCGTGAAAGAAGGGATTCAAACCATCCTTCAAACCGTTGGGCGTTCATGTCTTCGTGATAATCCTCAGTTTTTTTTGATGAAAAAATTAGTGCACTATCGTCTAAAAGGCCACTCTAGCTACTTATATGGGCGACAATCAGTCGTTGCCCTTTACCTGTTGGTCCGGTTAACCCTGTTGATAAACCGTCCACAAATGCTTGATGATAACTAGTTACCGAAGTATCTTGCCAGATCTCAGATACTGTGTGACCAGCATTTGCCCACGTTTCGTCCAGATAATAAATCTTTTTGTGAGCAGAACTCATTTCTCTAATAGAGCGAAGATATCTCCGTCGCCATGAGACTATATCTTCTCTTTCTATTAAGACAGATTTACGGGATCGTTTGGCATATATAAATTTTAAATCTTCCTTCATTATGTTCCTTAACCCATTTTTGGAATCAGATCATTATCCATTACCTTGGTCCTAATGGATTCGAGGGTTGACGCTTTATTCTCAAAAAAAAAAAGAGAATGAATGGTATAGCGTACAAAATTTTTCTTGTACTCGTCCAATTCAATTTTTTTTCTACCACGACAATGTGCTTTTGGAGTTTGCACAATCCCAGTCACCATTTTTTCACGTTCAATGCGTTCAATTGTCGATACGGATATTCCCGTTAAAAATGAACACTGGGCTACAGCTTCCACTGTACGGAGTGTATTTTTTAAATTTTCGTACACTCTACAGACACTCCGTTTTTCCTCTAACGACAAAACTTCCGCTTTCTTTGTACATTACTTGGACCTGCTACGGCATCCATCTTAATACTATAAAAATAATAAAATTCAATCATATTGTTCAGCTATTTGTCAGTTGTTCACTTACCTCAAGTTGATGTATTTTGTGAGGTTTTCACTAGAACATATTAATAAATCCGCTGTTTCGCTGTACAGTAGCTTTTTCAAGCGTGTTCACTAACAAACTGAATTTACATACATTGTGATTTATATATACTTTCTACCTATATACTATCTACCTAGAAACTAATAATATTCTAGGAACTAATTAATGACAGTTATACGTGAGTTTAACGAACATTTATACCTGGGTTTAATGACTAGGTCGACTAATTATCTCACAATAAAGTGTGAATGTGATGAGAATCTATGATAATGTATTTTGAAAAACAAGTATCGGCCAACTCTGTCTTATATTTTAAAGTTAATAAATTTTTCAAAGTATTTAACGAACTGGTTCACCTATTCGTTCTTACATCCTATCGATATGCAGAAGCTATCTTGTTACGGGGAGCAAATTTTATGGAATTATCTTACTTTTCAGTTATTTACAATGGCGATGCATAGACAATAAAAATGACCGCGGTAATAATATAGTTCTAACATTTAACATTGTTTGTGTTAGCTCTAAGTTCAATTTGTATGAGTTACCTTCAACTGAAAATTGTTATACTATAAACCAATCTAGAAGCAATATTGTTTGTACATAAAAATAAATATAATAGTGGCTCCAGGATTCACAATCATGATACAAAACACAAAGACATCATCAGGCTACTGAAGATGCATTACCAAAACACAGCCAAACAAACGGAGTTTCTTCCCATAAAAATAAATAAGACTTTTGCTTAGTGAATGGGAAGACCTTCATATAAAAGAACTGAAGTTCAAAGTGAAAAATTCACTTGTCACCCAAGCTTTCTATAAGATTGATGAGGTATTCAATTGTCAGTGGTCCTAATATATCTATATTTTCGAATGCAACAGAAATTGTAATTTGAGGTCAATAAAATTTCTTTCTTTCTATGAAAAATACACATCAACATAAATGTATTGTCTGTCAATAATAGAAAAATTGATCTTGTTTCATCTTATCTTCAAAGTGTTTGAGGACGTTTATGGATTTCACTCATACATAGTGGGAGAGCAAAATATATTTTGATTGATGGCAATATAATCGTTTACTAGAATTAGATACCTAGTAGATTAACTATTTGAACTATCAACTTATGCTGAATTAACTAATAAAAACTGTAAGTAAACATGTCAACCAAGTAGGTAAGGACAATTAAATTTTCCTTGATACTTATAATATATAAATACAAGTCGACAAATATTACTTAGTACACATAAGTTTGAAACACTCGTATATATCAGTTTGATGTACTCATAATATTTTTTAAATGAAAAACTCTGTAATCAAAATATGTGCTTATAAATACTTTCAAACTGTCGACATTCTTCTGCAGTGAACCATAGCAAGCAATTTCCTGCAGAGTTTTCGTTTCTTTGGCTTTGGTCGATACCACTTCAGGCTATAATATATCACAATTATCGAAAGGAATATTAAAAATGTCACTGTCAAATCGAAGCTTTCAGTTCGGTTTGATGTATCGGATGGTTTGTTGCGCCAACTCCACTGAATCATTTCGCCACTGCTCTCTCCGCCCGAAGCATCTACAAAAAGTTAATCTATCATGAAATGTGATTTGTTATCCTACGGTAAATTACTCGAGTAATATATCGATAAAATTGAATATTGAATTGTACCTTTCATGTCACTGTCGGTGGGTAACGGAAAATTGACGTCCTCAATCAACGACAACAGTTTCTGTGATTGGTAAAGGTTACTCGGAGCGGACACATTCAGAGGTACAGGTTGAGTCCAAGCCAAATGTGGACATTGAGGGATCGATCTCGGCTGGGAATCTCCTAGGTTTCCTTCCAACACTTGAGAATATCTATACAGACGATTTCCATCCATCCTAATTGGGGTATCAGTTTCTACAACTCCTTCCCAACTGATCATGCGATTATCCTTGAATATAGACGGTAGATGAGATGTAGACGTATATTCCAGCATGGCATCTAGCATCCAATAACAAGCTGATTCTAGATGACTTGCATCGATACAATTTGAGTCTCCATAAACTATTATTCTGCCACTTCTTCTATCGGTTGAATTGGGTTCCACTAAACCTATTATAGGCGCTTTATATCTATTTTTGTCAGGATCTTCCAGTATCTGAAATGGAAATGAATGCCGGAGTTATGGCATATACGCATATTTATTTAAATATAATGTCATGGGGATGCGGTAGAGATTTTAATAAAATAGATGTTGCCAAAAACGCATTGTACGACTATTTTTTGATATTGAAGATTGAAAATTACAATGAAACACATATAAAGGCAATTGATGAAGACTGTCGAAATAGAAAAATAATAGTATGTGCCGCTGTTGAAGCCAATGACCCTAGTACGAGCCCACAAATTACAGATCAAATAATTAATGAGTGACAGAACTGTTAGGGATATTACTGGAGTGTTTTTCCAACACCAAATCGTTATTTTTAACACCTCGACACGTGTTTCGATCACCAAGTGATCATCTTCAAAGAGGAAGATTAAAACTAAGAACTAGTGCGAGCTAATCCTATTTATGCTATAAAGGTAACCCATACAGGTAAACCATTCAGGCGTACCAACCATACAGGTATACCAACCTAAATTAATTTTACCTTAGCTATTATTTTACAATATATGTTTATATAAAACAATTTTCAGCTATATACAGGGTGTCCCTGGACTTCTTCTTTTCCTCTCGGGAATGTATAGACGGGGTCAAAATATCAGCAGTACTTCATATAACTTTTTTTCCTAAAAGTCTTCGTAACCTTATCAACAATCGTCTTCGGGTGATAACTGGACTTATTCCTCTGAGATATGACCATTTATAGGTCATTCGAGTGCTTTCACCTATCCCCAATACCCTTTCTCCACTTCATTGGTTTTAGCGGGAGATGACCGTTTGGCGAGAGTTGGTAGTTTTTCGCTTGATTAGAGGTTTCCATATGTTACGTATCTCTACGCTAGCTTGACTAAATGCTTTGTTGGACAACATATACGCGGCTTCTTTAAATTTTCTCCTAAACCTGTGTTCCTCTTTGTGGATGATTTCAGCTTGAGCCCACTTGATGTTATGTTGATGAGTCCAAACATGCTCTGCCATTCCGGATTTGTTGGTTTCTTCTCGCTGTGTGTATTTATTGTGCTTAGCAATGCGAAATTTCAATGGCCTCTTAGTTTCACTGATGTATGATTCTCCGCACTCGCAGGGTATCCGGTAAATGCAATTCTTGGAATCGCAGTCCGCGTTTGATGGCCTGGTTTTCGTGAGGCTGCTACGGATAGTGTTCCCAGATCTGAAGCATGTCCTGATGTTATACTTGGACCAAATCCTTCTTATCCTTTCCGATAATCTTCTGATGTAGGGAAGTATAAGTACTGGTTCTGGCGGCTTCTCTTTCTTGTGGAGCTCTTGCTGTCTTCTAGCTAAAGCCTGTTCTACCATCACTCTGGAGTAACCATTCCGTTGAAGGTCATTTTTGATGTACCTAGTTCCTTTTTGAGACCTTCCTGTGTATTGCAGAGCCCGAAAGCACGGTCTAGTAGAGTCTTGATTATTCCTCTCTTAGCCGATTGATGGTGGTTGGATTTCTGGTTCAGATATTGTCCTGAGTGGGTTTTCGATATACAGATGTAATTTTGCACTTTTTTCTTCAATTGCAAAACACTTTCGCTTTACCGAATTAATTTTGTCGAAATTTATGAACTTACAACAAGTGACAAAGATTTCATACTGGAACCTCTGGCGTAAAATCAATCTATTAATATTTGTTAGTAGTACCTATCGATAGAGGTACCGAAGAATACTACCTGATAGTAGTACCTGTCCCTAAGAAGAGGGAGTGCGCCGAGGTATTGGTGCACAGATTTTGTAAACAAAACAGTGCGCGACGTTTTAACCGGATATAGTATCGGTCGCTATAAGCGGTTGGTCGCTTAAACCGGAGTCATACTAAACGGTATATTTTCTCAATAACTAAATATGAAACTAAACTTGAGTAAACAATATCGTCGCTGTAAACGGATAGTCGTTATAAGCGGAGTCGTTATACAGTGTGACCCATTTTTAATGGAAACACCCCCTAAAATTTGAAGTTGTAAACCGATTTTAATAATTTTTTTTTTGAAATGTCAAGTACTAAAAGGTCTACCTTGGGACAAAATTTGAAATTTTCATTAAAGTTTCAGGGCATACTACGATATTTTTTCTTAGTCGAAAATCGGGGTTTTTCATTAGCAATTTTTTTATTGATAAAATCACTACGCCACTGGATTCAGGTGTGACTAAAATTTCATGAAAAAATATTCATTATCAACAAAGTTATGACAACTCAAAAATTCGAAAACTCACACAGCTAACAGTCACAAAAAACACCCTATATCATAAAAAAATTGGTTTTTCGCGATTTTCAGGAAAACGGTAAGTTTTATCATAAAATAACCTCAGATAAAAATTGTAGATCATATAATTCTCTACAAAAAATGTATCTATACTTTTTTCTTAGAGCCACCGTTTCTGAGATACGACGAGTCAAAAAGTTGTAATCGTCATTATATGCACAAGTTTCCACGCGACCTATGAAGTAGTGTACTTAGCGCTTTTTTTATACGTGGTTTCCCCAGTAGGCCTATTCCACATGTCTATTGTGATTCTGTCAAATTGAAAACTTGTATAATAAAATATATTAGGAAGGGTTGGAAATTATAAAAGCGATTGAAATTAAAAAATGTTAAAATTTATTCATCTGAGTCATAACCTTCAAATACTTCTTTTTGTCAATCGTCGTTCTTTTTCTTGGTCTTCTTCTTTTTCTTGGTCTTCTTCTTCTTCTTGATGTTCATCCTGGGTGTAGGTAAACTGCGTCAAAAATGTTGTCTACAATAACTCCCAGCTCCTTTATTTCAGACACATATTCCAATTTCAATTTTTATTCCATTATAATCAAGAGTTCACTTTATATTCAGTTGTTATCACCATAGCTTTTGTTTTATCTGCTCCTCTGTCCTCTGTCTCACTCCTTGAGACATAGGAGTGTTCCAAAAAAGGGAGGCTGTAATGTGACACCCTAGTCGATTCGAACGACTACCCACCGGGATCCTAGTCACTTCCATTATAATCCTGAGTTCCGCCAGACGACAGAGGAGAGAGATCTGAGAGTCAGTCAATGAACTTCCATACTGAATACTTTCAACATCAACAAAAGTTCAAAGCATCCAACATAGCGATAAGGTCAAAGAGCACACCAAGGTGAATATTCAGGACATCGTTTATATATTGTTGAAACAGCTCCATGTTCGTGGTATTCTTGGAAACTTATTTGGTATTACTTTCGATGTACTGTGTGACGTAAATGTAACCTCCGCAACGTGTTGTAGTGGACGATTCCAGTACCCCTAATTCAGTGTTGCCAC